GGAAAGATAATTTATTTCAACTAGACAGAGTCAATACCACCTTAAAGAATGCTTCTCCATTGACTGCAGGCTAGTAACATCCCACTCCTTTTTGTGAACTTCTCTGATGGCATCAAGAACCTTTGTTCGAACACCTACTTGAGTAATTCCCATCTGCAAAAAAATAGAACGACAGAGGTTTAGAGAATCAAAGCTTTTGTTAAGTGGCTTATTTGAATAACAATGCAGCATCATAGTTCTTTGATATTGTGCATTCTCTGCCATCCACAGACAATAGAACTTTTTTGCTTGAGCAATTTGTTTTCCTATTACAGACCATGTGATATTCTCTAGAGAATAGTTCTTTTTTCCATCTAAGAATTATTTATTCATATGCACACGACTACTTCAAAATCTGAAAGGAAGAATTCTCAAGAGTATCGTCACATGGTCTGAAATGGGGCAACAAACCGCCCAGTCTACAAAGGTCTATTTAGAAAAGCTTTGACTAATTAAATGAAATACAGACACTGGCTATTTTCAATATATTCAGTACCTGATCTAGTTCCTTTTCCGTCAGATTCAAGAATTCATCAAATGTTAATTTGTGTTCCTTAAAAGTGAAAAATATCTCAGTTTTATATAATTAGTCATCAATGAACAATATTAAATCAAACCTGAAGATAGGATGTATGCAAGAAGTATGGCAGATGGATTCTCACAAGCAATATTATGGCTGAATGAACTGACCAACTGGACAGCTGACTGGTGACACACCACTTGACTACCCACCCATTGACTCACCCACCAACTCACCTGTTGACACTGGAGTAGCTGCAAGGTTGACATCAAGATGAATAGTGATACAAAACAAGCTAAATTCATAATCATAAATAATAATCATAATGATTATAAATATTCTCTCAGACTAACAATAAAACAAAGCTTTACTTGAAATGTTGGCAGCAAATGTGTCAACTCTAAACCACATAGGAACATTTCAAGGTCACCATATCTCATTTCACTGCAATTTAAAAAATAATAATCAGTATATTCAGTGACACACTTATTGTTTCACCCAACTTATGTATTAGAGTTGACTGGGATTGAAATTTGGAGTGACAGAGTCACTGGTTCAAATCCTCAATCCCTCAAAAACTGGAGTTATCCTCAGTAGCTCCGAGTGTAAAGCCCTGGCTTAACGATCGCCACATTTCACCGCAACATATTGCAACATTGTTGGGCACAACAGGTTGCTTGCGTTTGGCCACCATGTTGCCACATGTTGGGTATTGTTGGTTCAAGTTTGAAAATGGTCAACTTTTAACCAACAACACCCAACATGTTGCAACAAACTGTGGCCAAATGTGCTGAACATGTTGTGCCCAACAATGTTGCGATACGTCGTGTTGAAATGTTGCAATATTGTGATAAGTGAATAAATACAATACAATACAATACAAATTTTTATTGTCAACTCCTCATGGGGGCTTTTCAGAGACAATGATAAAGGAAAAAAAATACTCAAAGATTATTGATAAACAATTTTTTAAGTTAAGTATAAAGATGGTGAATTTTAAGCTCGGTAATGAAATGTGAAAAGTGAACTGATCAACATGACACAGGCGTGGGACAAAGAAAAAATCTTAGTCCCAGACAGGAATCTGAGTTCATATGTGACGGGCATTACGCATATAAACTCAATTAACTTCAATTAAGTAAAGGACCTTGCTCTCCATGAGTTCTCATAACTCAGTGGATAGAGTGTCTGCCACAGGTGTTTGGGAATGTGACAGGCATTCTGCATATGAACTCAATTAACTTCAATTAAGTAAAGGACCTTGCTCTCCATGAGTTCTCATAACTCAGTGGATAGAGTGTCTGCCACGGGTGTTTGGGAGGTCATGGGTTTGATTCCTGTCTGGGTCTCAGATGTTTTCTTTGTCCTACGCTCATGTCATGTTGATCAGTTCACTTTTCACATGTTGCAATATTATTATTAATTGTTTGGCTGTCTTAACTTTTCAGCAACACTATGTAGTCGATTTGCAATACTTGTTTGTATATTCACAGTATTGCAATAATTATCCCAGCATTTGAAATCTGGAGGCCCCTGGCAATAACTGGAGGCATTTTCCTTTCAACCAAAATTTCCATCTGGAGAACTTTCAAACCAGAGGCAAATGGTACAGAAATTCCCTAGTAACCAATTTTCTGGAAAATCCAGAAGTTGTTGAATTTCCAAAATGTGAACTATTCAACTGAAAATTTCAGAAATTCTTGGAGGATAAACAAATAATGTTTCTCCAACTGACTTTTTTTTAAGTGTCCCAAGGACTTTTGGCCAGGATTGTAGCAAGGTTGTCAACTGATTAGATGTCCCAAAATTCCAGAAATTCAAACTGCAATTTTTGGTTGAACAGAAAGCTCCCTGGATTTGTTCTTGGTAATCCCATGTTCAAAGTCTTTGTAAATAGCAAGCCTGTCAGCCTCGCTTAATCTGCTATTCTAAGCATGTCTCTGTTCTATTTGCAATATTCATTTGCTTTGTTTATTATTTTACAGTTTCCACAATTATTATTAATGACATTTTTTTCAATTTCTCACCTTGAGCTGTCCTCTCTCATGTCAACACTAAGAAAAAGATCAGTTATAGAATGAGTGACTGTTTAACAGGTGCCTCACTCAGTGTCACTGTGAGATAATTTGTTTGGACTATCAACTGTGATTGGTAATATGGACGTTACTTCCTTCTCAAAACATTAGTTAAGGTAATTGAAGAAAATCATGTATGAAAGAAAGAGAATTTGAGAAAGGGGAAATTCTCTTGATATATTTGTCCTAAGTACATGCAAATGAGATTTAGATCAGTGTTTAGCAGGACAGAGTGGGATATCATGAATTAAAAACTTTGAATATTTGGGAACCGAGAATTGAAAAAATAAAATTGGAAACTGAAAATTCAGAATCTAGGAAGTGGAAACTGATAATTGAAAATTGGAGACTGGAACATGCAGTTGGTAACTGGGAACTGGGAATTGGAAAAATTATTAAAACTGGAAACTGGAATTCAAAATTAAAAACTGAGAACTGGAGCCGAGTATAGGAAACTGGGAACTACATGTAGGAATTCAGAACTGAAAAATAGGATTTGGAAAATGAAAATAGAAAATTTGGAATTAGGAGTAAATAACCAACGCAACGAGTTTAAACAATTATTTATGTTTTTTTATTACCTTGAAGATTCTGCAGCATGGGAAATTGCTTCACTAGACACCTGCTTTCCACTTGTAGCCAAAGTGATAATGTCCGAAATCTAGTAATTAATGGTCAAAATTAGACAAAATGTTTCTGTATAGTGATGCAAACTGTTTTGTAATAGTGTCTCTTAACCAAGCTACATTTATTGATTTTTGAACCCAACTAACACCTTTGTAACAATTTTCTGCATAGTTCCTTTTGGTTCCTAAACTACACCAACACAATTAGAGCAGTGAAGTCTACAGATTTTAGTCAAATCAGAGGGAAGCAATTGATAAAAAAATTCCAAATACGTGTCAAAAAAATTTATCACTTTTTCTTTTGAATGGCAACAGAATATTCAACTTTGTATTTACATAATTACATTTTTTTAAGAACTGTGAAACAAAACATGCTTTTGGAACCACACATAATCACAATGTTATTCATACATATTATCATATGGCTAGCTCTGTGAGTGGGCAAGATGAACTAAATCCTGCACTACAATTGGTTACCTGAGCAGGCAAGATGGCAATATCTTGCCTGCTTGGGATTACCCGCTATTTCCCCCAAGAAAATAGACGTGTTCTCTTTCCATATAATAAATCCTTTATTGACCAAGCTTGTCTGGTCAAGATGGCAGGATATTGACCTTGTGGTTTTTGCATGTTTGTGGACCTAATGACTCCGTCTTGGTCCATAAACACGCAAAAAAAAGAACTTGGCCAATGTGCAGCCATCTTGACCTCACTCTTGGTCAATAACCCATATTTATAATATTTAGAAATCAATTAACTAATTCTTTACCCTGGGGAAATCACTTGAATATGCAATATCACTCGGTGTTTGGCCATCATTGGAGTATATCTTGGAGTCTGCTTGATGATCCAACAGAAAGCGTACAACTTTACCATGACCACGACTGGCAGCCCATGACAAAGCCTGACAAAAAGGTTTTCCCAGAAACTTACTAGATTACTTCACGGCTAAAACACCACAAGGGGGTATGGACACTACAGTTGGCAACAAATCATAAAATAATTTGTTACTTATTAGTGACAGCAGTCTTATATATAAATCCTTACAAGTGACAACTCTCATTGCGTTCGACAGGACGCAGTTCTAATGATGCTCTGCATAAAAATTCGAGACTTGTGTATCTATCTATCTATCTATCTACATGTATCTATCCATCTATCTATCTATCTATCGAGCAACACCAATTTGGCCNAAATGACTCATGTCCATGCTTGTCGAGTCTCCATGTGCTTGTCATGTCTCCATGTGTTTATCTGCTGTCACCGGCAAGTTGCGTATCTGAAGTTTGAAGTGAGAGTTACGGCATTAAATGACCTTGCAGCTGAGATTTATCGATGTCTTCACGAAATGTGTACAACTTTCGGGACAAACACAAAGGTGCAGTTCGGCTGCCTGTTGTCTACCGTCTTGTCTTTGACCAAAAACCAACACTGCTTTGTGCGGAATAAATTGATGAAGGAAATGTGTCGTTTCACTTTGCTAGCTTTGATTTCTGTGCACAAAATATATTACTTTAACTCACCGAGGTGTGTAGCTCGGCAGATGGCCATGATTCGTGGTTATAGAACCATCTTACTGAGCTGTCTAGCTTGTTATAGCGGGTTAAATGAATGGAAACAGAAGCTGCACATTTAATAACTAGAGAATGTTGGTATGTAAACAAACACCTAGAAAGAATGTTAAACGGCTTAGTGAATGACAGTTTATTTATTTTACAGGAATGTAAATGACTATGGCAGGGGTTGCACTAATGCTTTTGGCGTTTACATTGGACATAAAATCTGTGATCGCGCGCTTGCGACAAGTGCGACCCCTTAGTAGCGACCAGACATAACTATGTCCAAAGGAACTAAAGATCAAAAAAGCCGATGTCCTGCCTTGAAGCAGGTTATATCTTGTCTAATGGCCTTAAAATAACAATTTTTTGTTTTTCTTCTGTAGCAACATCAATCAAATCTGAAATACAGGCAAAATTTAGATTTTTGGAATTCTGCAAAGACAACATGTGTGCACAGCTAGCTACAGCTATCGGTTCAAAATTTTAGTCACTGTTTTTTTCTACAAACGTTTTACCTGGTCCTTATGACGAATTTCAATCCATACCAATTTAAAAATTTGCACTATTCACCATGACTGTCGTGGCCGTGGTAAACACCAAAATCTAAATCGGCGATTTCTTCTTCTCTGCATCGGTCGACGTCGGTTTAAAGCGGCAAGAGCCAACATTTGCCATTGGTGAATGTTGTACAATGCGTACAAACCAATAAGGTTTTGTACATTGAACAAATTAAACAGAGATTGAAGAAATGTCACTAATAAAACTAGCACCAGCCTCATATTTACAAAATTATATTTGGTGCTTTTCTCGCGTGTGAAATAACAGTCTGGTTTCAAATATCATTTATGTCGCGCACGTGCGACCTCCATGACTCCCGTGGTGTAAATGTTGTGACATATTCGTGGGACAACTTATGATGCGACATAAAAAAAATAAGGCCACAGTGCGACCCCTGCCTATGTTGTTCTGGTCCCCTTTAGTCTCAGGTCTTTGAAGTAAATTAAAAATAACAAACAAAACTTGGCATAGACGCAGAGCCTGAATTATGAAATTGTGCAAACCAAAGCGAATTTCCCTTTGCGCACACAAGAAGATTTTCACAAACGTAAATCGAATGGGAGCTTTAAAATTGCCTACAGGCCAGAGTTTTGTTTACGTTTTGAATTCACGCTGAGCTTACGTCAAAACATGAAATTTTGAAGGCCTACTATTTTTGCGAGTCTGCAGAAACTGGCGCCGTCACGCAATGTTTTGAACAACAAATCGGCCATCGTAGTCTATACAGGGGACCTCTTCACTGGCATGGACTTTGACACTATGATATATCCGTCGGTGTTAAACCTCGGTTGTTCATTAAAAATGTTGATTTTAGCAATAGACAGAGGTTGAAATTAGCTAGTTAAATCATTTAAGGTATATATATGAAAGTGACGGTGTCAAATGCACTCATGATCTTTGATTACTACTAGTCTTAAAATATATGCCTTCATTGGATGAATTTCAATAACAGTCACAAAGAGAACAGTAGGGGTAGGAACACTATGCAATTTTTGTGAAGTCCTAGGCCTCATTTTCAACAAACACATATATAGCCAGGTGGAATTGTTGGTTGAGTGAACAATTTTCTAGGAGGAAAAAGCAATCTTTCTGTCTCAAATTTGTTGAGTTTACAAAAGTTTTGTAAATACATGTATTTTAATACATCTAAAATAGTTATTGTCAAACACAAAAAATATGTAACTTACAATAGTCAGTTTGGGAATTTATAACTGCTCATAACTGTAAAATTCACATAATTAATCCTTTCAGTGGTTTAAAGAGTAAGGGAAGTGCAGGGCTCAAAAAAAACTTGAATTCCAACTTGCCCTTGGGACAAGTATCTCTCAAATTTTGCTTGCCCATGGCAAGTCTTAGTTTGCCCTTTTAATGATTTAGTTGGCAGATAACTTGGTTGGTCTCTTGCCCATTGGGCAAGTGAGAATGTAAAGTTACTTGCCCAGAAGGAAAATCTACTTGTTCGGGGCAATGGGACGGCACTTTTTTCGAGCGCTAAAGTGGTTCAGCAATATTCTGCATTCATTTGCTATGTGGGTGAGTGATATTTTAAAAATAAGTTATCCTTCTCATTTTGTATTGAAATATGAAATATGAATGTCATACTGTACCAGTGTGATTAGAGTATTTTTTAACCACATAATCCTTCATAATTCTGCCAAATATTGACCAATTTCTGCAATTTATTTTTATTTTGTTCAGCTCAAGGTTTTCTTTCAGACCATGTTATGACGCATTTCCTGCTTGTTACTAGTTTTAAACAAAAAGTTTGTAACATCACACAAATAAAAGGGTGCACATGATTGTGAAACAGCCGTCGAGGAAATTAATGCCACGTATAATCAGTATTCAGGGCATTTTGTTTCAATGAAATTAAAAAAAACAAAACGCAAGGAGGGATTTTTTTTTTACCACAAAACCACCTAAAATGCTGATGACTCCCGGTCAGTGTAAAGTTAACATAGACTCCAGACTGCAGACTGAATACCGGGGGTAAAATACAGACTGAGTGTAAAATGCAGACTCCAGACTTCCCCCTTCCCCACCCGTTTCAAAATTCCAGATTAACTTCAACCTTTCCTGTAAAATTTGGGATCCCACCCACCTCCTAGAAATTTCCAAAGACCTTCAAAGAAGGGGGATATGGATATTTCTGGAACTACGCAATTCACAGAGTAATGCTGTTAGATCTGGCTTCCAAGTAGCTGCCTGGGAATGAGCCCACACCAACACAATCTCACAGAAATTCTTACCCTCCCCTTCCTTCATAAACATAATAGCATTAACATATTTCATTTCTCAAATCTCATTCCTCATCGTGCCCCGCAGGACAACTAAGGCCATTGCGTTTTCATTTGGAACAGAAACATTGCCAGAAGATAACTTACAGTCCATCCTCGAATGTCTTGTTTGTTGATCTCGGCACCATGTTCTAACAACTTTTCACATACTGCAACCCTCCCTTCTCTTGCTGCATACATGAGTGGCGTCATACGATATCTGAAAAAGAATGTTAAAAAATTAGTAGCAAGAAATGTCACAAACTGGACAACAGATTTTCAGTCAAGCAAGGGCCACAGCTCTTACAAACCAAGAATTCAAGCCAATATTTCTGATTGCCCTACTTACTTGTCATAAACATTGACTCTGGCATTTCTCTCCAGTAACAGCTCCACGCATCTAATAACCCATTCCTCGGATACATTCCCAGTCACTGCACATGTTGCCATCAAAACAGTATACATCTCTGACATGAGAAAATGAATTTACTAATATTATCGCACACATAGTCGGATATAATTTCTGATTGCCAAGTAAACACATTTCATATTTAACACTGAAAACTAAGTTAATACCAATGTATAAAGCTACTTAAATGCCACTTAAACACAGTACACCAAGAAAATGTTGATTGAATGATTGATTGACTGACTGACTATTCAATTGATTGATGATTGATTGACTGACTGACTGATCAATCGATTGAAGATTAATTGATCGATTGTGACTGATTGACTGAGTAATCAATCAATTGATTATTGATTGATTGTAATTAATTGATTGACTGACTGACTGACTGACTGACTAACCCACTGACTGACTAATCAAATGATTGATGACTGACTGATTGATTGATTGATTAATTTACAAATTGCATTAACTTACACCACCAAGTACCTTTATGGAAGTTGACATTTGCTCCTCTCGCTGTGAGTAATTCCACAACATCAGGTGATGCCAAACTGGCTGCAAGCAACAATGGAGTCCATCCCGACTTCAACTGAACATCTGGATCAATTCCTAATGTGACAAAAAGAAATATGCAAACATTTAGATTAATTAAGTTTATGGTAAAAGGATATATAAACAATAGCCTACATTTGGTACAAAAATATGCTCAGGTATTTGTCCGCGGATATTGTCTGTTCTGAGAAAAGATCAGTTTTCCGAGAATGTAGCTCAAGGAAAACTGTGAGTTTTGAGGAACAGATAATGACCAACATGCACAGTTTTGAAAATTAGGGAATATCTACCCCCAGTTTTAGCTGGGATGTATTCGGTCTTGTGTCGCACTTAGACCAATCATACCCAAGCAAAATTATTTGAATCGTGGATTATAGTATGTTATCAAGATCTTGATAGCATTACTTTAAGTTTCATCAACAAGAATCAAACTCATAACATGTGTGGCATGTTTAACTGGTATGTCCAATGGATTTTTCAAAACAATATCAGATCATAGGAAACCTCTGCAGAAAACTAAGTGATGATTTCATCTCACCATCTTGCAGATATTTTTCAATTGCAGCAACATTTCCTTTTATAACTGCTACTCGCAAGTCCTCAGCAGCTAATAAGGTTGCAGCTTTCTTTGCCTTGTTTTGAACGAGATTACTCCTGCAAAGAATACATTTCAAGGACTAAGAATGACTATTAATCACACTGACCTGTTCAGTTAGTAACATGACAGATTTTATGAGTAGAAAAAATTGTCTTGCCAAAGAACATAACCTTGACCACCAGAGTTCACTGCACCAACCATTACAGTACTGCAGCTTCCATTGGATCTCATTAGCCCAGGGGGAGATGCCCATATAAAATGGATGGGGGCGCTCGTCGCAAATTTTGAAAAGAACCCCAAAGAGGGACCAAGATCTTACTTTGTGGGCGTGGCTTAAAATTTTTTTTGCCCCTATGAGGTACCAATTTTAAAACAACATATTAACTCTTGTCATATGTTTTTGGCTCAATATCCTAAAAGGTACTGTAAAAGCTCCTGTTGTGGATGTAATATATCAAACACGAAAGACCGTGTTTGACCACATTTCCAAACTCCGAGAAGAGAGTTGAAAATATGAC